TATATAAAATAATTTTAGCAGTAGGGGGGTTTCTAATGAACTGATAATAAAGCAAAGCTTTATCACGGTCTATTTTGATCATGATAACCAAATATTGGCCTGACCTTATCCAGGAAACATTCAGAATAACCAAACTCACTTGATTCTTGGATGAAAATACTTCTTTACCATTTTTTTTTTAATGAAGTGAATGTAGTACTTGTGAAAGGTTTTGGATTGACAGCATTAGAGGCAAAAGTGTGCTATTCATCTACAATACAAGAATATTGTAAGTAATGGCAGTACAGACTTTCTTCTACTACATTGCCAATTTGTCTCAAACCTATTCTAGAGGATTGTCCTACTTACCACTGAATTTTCTAGTACTAGACTACATGAAACAAGAGAGAGAAAAATGTTAGATTTCTGAAGTATGGTTTTGCTTAGTGCATCCTTAACTTCTGTACAGATTGTGTATGTATTATATTTTTATCTAATATATACATTTGTTCTAAGTATTGTTTTCATTATTGATCTTGTATTGCATTAGCAGTCAAAATATTGTTTTTAAAGAGAGATTAGATTTCTGCTTCAAAATATACACCATTTCTTATAAAATAAGCAGTAACCTTTACTGTTCTAATAAAAAGTGAAACAAATATAGGTATAAACAGTTAAAATGTTTTGGACTAGAGCTTCCTTTAAACAAGAACCTCAACATTCAGTCATCAGCCAACCTATTAAGAAAAATCAGTCAGTCAGGATAGCCGCCTACACTTTGATGTGTTTATTCTGACCACCTTACAATCAAATATCTGCCATTTTTTACTATTCTACAGTATTCCGACTTTAATGACTCAATACATAGTATAACAAATGTATTTCTGTTGCGTGCTCACAATAAGACATATTGCACTTCCAAAAAGAGTCTTGCTATATTTCCTGCTGCCGTTGATAAAATAGATATGCATCACCTACTTAAAAGTACAGCACATAAGCTAAAGACAGATATGGAGATTTTTATCTATTAAAACAAAGGAAAATTGTATTAAAATAAAGAGAAAATGGGTTTTGCATATGATGTTTAGTGTTATTTTCTCTCATATCTCCAGTTTATTCATTTTTTAACTTGTAACTTTGTTTTGTATGTAGAAGAAAAGAATATATGAAGTGTACAACTTCAAAAATATCTCCTTTGCTATTAAAGATAATTTGCATATTTGAAGGAAACCTCTAATCTAGTCCATTTCGTAGTTTGCTGAGGGTTTTGATACATCTGTTTGAAACTGAAGCCAAAAAATAATATCTATATCTATCTTTCTAATGGTTGTATTTCTAGTCTTCTTTTTGATAACAGATGTTTCATCTTTCCTATTCTTCCAAGAAGAAAAAGGAGAACAAGCATATACAATACTTACATTTTAGGGAATAATGTGATCCCACAGGGTACAAAGCAATGACAGGAAATAGATATTCAATCCAAACAGCAACTGATAAACAGATTAATCCACAAGAACATAATTCTACAATGTTCTGATTCATAGATTCAAATTTTCTAGTAAATATCAAGTGCACTGTCAAATTCTAGGTTTTGTTGTTATTTCTTCAAGACAATTAGCATGATTTTAACATCACTAGGTTCTTGATGTCCTTAAAAAACTATGTGATTGCTATCATATAATTTCTCTCCCCCCCCCCCGAATTAGTCAGGGTTTTCAGCATATGCAGCCATTCACAAATGTCAAGTCAAAGCAAACTTTATAGACTGGAGGGAAGATAGCAAATAAAGGGAAAGGAATTGAGAGAGAATAGGAATAAATAGCAAAAAGAGAGGCTGTAAAAAAAAGTACCAAGGTTTGTTCATCTTTATTCCTAAAGAGTAAGAAAATAAACTGCTTTTCTGTATTCTTAAATCTGACTGTTTTGTTTTTCCTACTTTTCAGTTGCATACTGTCCCACTGTAGAGCATAGGAAAATGCCAGTTTTCAGTTTTCATTCTTTAGGTTGCATCAGTCTGAGGTGAGCATGAGGCAATAACATTTGCAAACCCTGTCGTCTGGTAATGTAAATGTTCCTTGATCTATTCATGAATTTACTAATTGACATCAGCAAAGAAGCCATCTAAAGATCTGGTTTTCAGAAGTAACAGGGTGTTACAGCATCCACTCTTACCGCATTCACACACAATCAATGGGTGCAAAAAGAAGGGCACTTTTGAAAATATGGCATGATAGATATCCCTGAAAACAAAGCCATGAAAAAATGGTTTTCCTTTTGGAAGATGTCTGTTAATTTAGAGTTCAGTGCTGAACTACAGCGAGTTTAGTACCCCTCTACATTGTCTTTATGTGGTTGTAGCTTTACAATACAGGTAGTTTTTTACCTGAAGCCACTTACTCTGTAGACTGAACCCAACTCTATAGCAAGTTCATTTTATAATTAGATCAGTCTGTATTCCTTCCCACCCCTCCACATTTGTGCACTGATGCAGAAGCAGCTATATCAACTTCCAAGCACAGTATGTTGTGTTCATACCCAAGAATGACTGATACAACTGGATGCACTACATTCATATCTGATTCTTAAATGTGAATAATGATTTCTAATTTGGTATCTTTTTAGGATAGTTTTTTGCCACTGAATATTAATTAAAGTCTTGCTTTAGTTACACAAAACTGCATTTAATTATATGAACTGATGTACTGATTATATTTAACAGAATAAAATAAATCGAGTAAAGTAGAAGTGCAGGCTTCATTATACATTTGGGAGGAAACAGATGTAATATCTCCACTGCTTCATGATAAACTATAAATGTCAATATGATGTAAATCTGTTTTTATTTTACAATAGAATCCATTAATGAACTTCAGGATACAAATTCCATCATCCTTTTTATGTGCGTCAGTGACTTAAAATGACTTGATAGCACCGCTGTCCTGGTGTAAAGAATCTGAGGAGAATGCTATACTTGAAATTTTGATTTTCTCTGAATATCTTGGGGTACTTGCAGATGGGCACTGTACCCAAGCTGCAGCCATGCATCTTACTTTAAGCCATATGATTGTACATCAGGAATGGCTTGTGCACATGTTCTCCAGTGCTGGGAGCCACGCCATGAACTCAATCTCAGTAACTCAGGGTGGAGGGAGGGCTAGCAGGTCTGTAGAGTGTGTGGGGGTTGGAAGTGTTGGGGGCAGCTGGCATGTCTATAGCGGGGCTGGGGAAGTAGTGGGTCTGTGGGTTGGATGTCTGTCTGAGGGTGGGAGGGTTGTGGGGCTAAGACTCCTTGGTTAGGGAGGGATAAGAGGAACATAGCCTGGAGCTATGGAAGCAGCTTGGCATTCCCAGCTCTAAGGATGTGCTCCAAATGTATACAGACATTCAGTAGATTTGACTAACCCAGTGGTTCCCAATCTCTGATATAGGTACCACCAGTGGTACACAGACAACCTATCAGTGGTACGCATTAACAGATTTATTATAATGACTTTATATGACAAAAAATTTCTGGTATAACTTAAGGTTGAACTGAAAAATTTGCTGGTGGTACTTAAGGTTGTATCATTTTAAATTAGTGGTGTGCAATCTGTCAGAGTTTGGGAACTGCAGGACTAACCCATTCCAATCTAACTTAGTTCACCTCCTCAGGTGAACTCATTTAGATCAGGCTGGTCATTTTTTGCCCAGTTTAACTTCCTCAAACATCTGCACAGATAGACATGTAGATTGACCTAAACCAAGTTAGGTCAGTCTAAATGTAACATCTGCGCATACGCTTATCTGTCATAGGCCCTGTGCAGGCATTACATTTCTACCAAGAGAATCACCACTCTCCTAATAGATACTACAAGCACACAAGCATTTTCAGTTTCTCCCTGGAGATGCATTCGCCCTCCAAGAGAAGATTTTCCAGGTGTTAACCTGCAATATCTCCCTTGTGAGAGAAACTTTATTGAAAGAATGAACACTTTTATGTTTCCCCCCACCTCTCCTGGACCAGGGACTGAGCTTAGGGAGGCTGTCCCCAAACCCAGTTCTGACCCTGTCAGCTTCCCCTTGCTCACCCCACCACCTACCTGCATGGTTAGGCAGTGATTTAAAAGCCAGTAGGGGTTGGAAGTGGGCTCAGGGAAGCTTTTTTATCTCAGATCCTTGCACTAAGGACTTTAAATTTTGCATGTGCCACCCAAACTGGGGGCACAGACAGTGATTTAAAAGCCCATGGAGCTGGGAAAGTTCTCCCTGAAGCAGCAGGACAATGCTTCCCACACTTCCCCAGACCAGGAACTGCCCAGTCTGGGGAAAAGACTTGGGCTTCACCCTGCTCTGCTTCTGCAGTGCCCTCCCAGACTAGTCTGTGGGAGGGTAGGGGAGCAGTGGAAAAAGACTCCCTCCACATTCCCCAGACCTGGGATCACCCTGAGCTCCAGAAGGAGCAGGGAAGAGGGGGCAGTTACTGTCTGTATGTCTGTACTGGTCCCTGTTCCAGAAACATTAGTAGCAGTGGAAATTCTCAGAAACATCTACTGCTAGAAATGAATGCCTGTTCTTGCCAGTAATAAACAATAACCAATTAACTGGCTTGGAGCTGGCTTCTCTACTTATGTCTTCTTCATCAAGGGAGAGCCCTACTTCCATACGCTTGAAATCTATGGATTAAGGATTTCAACCACACAGTAGGTATAAGATGTGAAATAAGAATCAATAAGTTTTCAGAGGGATGTCACTGGTTAAGTGACAAAAACCTTGTGATAGTCACTGAGAACGAAAAGTCAAAGGTACATTTGAACCTGTCAGTTCAACACATTTCTGTTATCCCTTTAGGGGATATCATAGAACTTGACACCAACATTTAAGCTTTGAAAATTATGAGCTCATCTATTTCAAATGGGATGTCATATGTTCCCAAGCCTTTGCCATTACTTATGATGGAAGACAGGATGATCACTTTTTTGTTCAGATATTGATATTGCATAAGCTTATTTCTTTTCTTTTCTTTTTTTTTCCCCCTGTTTCAGAATGAAGAACAAATTTTGGTATTTTGAGTTTGGCACTTCTGAAACTTTCTCAGCCACCTGCAAGAAGCTGCATGAATCTGTAGAAATAGAAGTAAGAAACTAATTATTGCATGTCATGCTATGAAATGTTACTGGTTTGACTGAAATGTTAGGGAGCCAAGGGTGCAGAGTGCCTGAATCCAGCAAGACAGAGAAATGCACATACTTTTGACCCCAGATCCCAAAATATTATTTTTATCATGTCTATTTGTGGTGTAGCCGTGAACATTGGAACAAAGTTCAGTTTGATGATTAGTGAAGTCTTAATACAGTGGAAGAGGGCAAAAGGTGAACTATGCCATTAGAAATCAATAGGGAGTGTGACTGGGTCAAATAGAAAAATGAAAGACTGTTGGAGGGACTAAGAACTGCTGCAGGATTAAAATAAAAAAATCTTATTATTTCTAGGTCCCAAGTTTTTATAACCTTTAAAATTAAATTCTCTAAAATTGTACTTACTTTTCTGAATAAAGGTTAAAGAATACATTTTTGGAATCATTCCCCTTCATCAACTATCTTTTCTCTCTGCTGAAGAGGCCATCTTATCATTGTGCATCAATAGTCAGCTAAAAAGACAACCTGGATAAATAAGGACAGAATAGGTACAAAAGAAAAACTACCTCCAAACAAGGGGACTAAGCAGTTTGTGACAGAATTGACTGCATTAGGTAAACCAGGAGCTGCCATTTCTATTAAAAATGTAATGTGAAATAGATTGTATTTAATATAAAAATGGTATTTTAAACTACTAGTACGTAAGTAATAATAATGAAATTGGATAGGCACCTGGCTGGGGTCTCCCACCCCTAGTGCTCATTCCTGCCCATGACAGGGGGTCAGACTCAATGATCTGTCTAGGTCCCTTCCGACTCATTGATTCTCTGATTCTTTTCTTCAAGAATATTTAAATCCTTTTCTCTTCTGAATTAATTATAGAGCATCTAACGATATTCTTTTGGAAGTAACGGAATATTTGCCACTTACCAATGAGCATGAGAGCTCAAAATGTGTAACAGAAAGCCGTTAGGATCCAGTCCAAAGTCTACTGAGAACAACTGAAAGATTCATATTGACTTGGACTTAATGGGCTTTGATCTTTGCTGTTCTCCAAGCACCTGAATACTAATACTAAGACTGAAGTCAGGCACAGAACTTGCCTAGTGTGTTTGGTGGAAGTGCTTGTGAAGGTATTTTGTTGCTACCAAAAAAAAATTGATGAAATTGCTCTTTTCTTGAAAGCTGGAGTATTTATAGCTGTTCTTTTAAAAGCAGAATTTTAGTATCTATTCTGCTTTCTAAGGAACTGCTTCATATTCGGTTCTAAATGCAATCAACCCCTGAAAAAATATTTTACTAAACTTCTAAAGAAGCGACTATCTGATTTGTTTCTGAATGTGGTCCTGGAGTCTCTCTCGCATACATTTTAATAGAAAGAGACAAAGAAAACAAGCAGGTTTTATTTCCAAGGAACTACTTTCCATATAGCCAAAATTTTCTGTAAGACTTGTTTGTGGTTAGATTTTTTTTTTCTTAACTAGATGACCATAATATGGGCTACAATTGTTATAATCTTGCAGCCTCACAATTATCCTCTTGGAATGGCACTGAATCTCAGTCTTTTATGTATAATACCACTACTACTAATAGCAACAATAGCCATTAGAATGTAACGCTATAACATGCACTTGTCCTTAATCACTTTATGCTTGCTGGTTAACATCATTAAGGCTAAAGAAAGGTATATGACCAAACCAAATAGAAACTAACCTCGTTAATATGGGTGACAGGAACAAGTAATTGCAGTCATTGCCCTGCTGATTGGGTGCACCAGTAATGCTTAACAGTGTATTCATATTTGGTTTTCCTTTGTTTTATGTCATCAGCATTTGTGTTTACAATGTGCTTTTATCTGGTTTGTAACCTGCTGCCCCTTGCTTGAGGATATCATTGTACGTGAGAACTTGGTGAACAATACCACATTTCACTTTGTGTGTTTTATTCACAAAGAGCTCATTTGCCAGAGAGCCAAATTTTGAATGAACAAAGCCCATGAAGATTAAGGATCTATATCTCTGAGCTGGGAAAATGTAAACAGGCATTCTATGGGCAAATATTTGTTCATCTCTGTATTTGATTTCTAACCTAATCAAGCATGGCCTTCCTATTATGCAGTCCCATAGCCTAAGTCCTGTATTTCTGTTTTGTATGAGAGGCGCAGTCATTTTTAAAATCTTAACTAACAAACTAGAATCCATGTGTAAGTTACAGGAAGCGTCACCAGTTCAGGAAAGCATCGTATCCTAATTGTTGTCCTGAATCGCTTCACCTTCATAACTGCCTTTAAAGAAGAAAGCCTGCTGAGAGAAGTTAATAGATGGTATTATCTGGCACAATGCTGCACTTGTTTAGACTGCATAGTCTTTATGTCATTTATTTTCAGGAAGCTGAATCAGACATTATGGCCTTAATGTAAGGATAATCTAAAATGTTCCCAGGCTAGTGAAAAAGCTAATGTAAAAGCTAAGGCTCAGAGAGGGGCGGAGGGGGGGAGGCTGAGGTAAAAAAGGAGCTAGAAATAAGCTACTATTAATTTCTAACTGTCACAGACATGCTATGCATGAAAAAGCATGCTGTTGTATTAGCAACACCTTTACATTATGTGAAACAGAAAAAAATGGGAAGAAAACACATCTGTGTTTTGTTATTTTAGCATATGAATGTGTTAGGGCAACGGAAAGCTACCTGTCGTGCAAACTTCTCGTCTGTGTATGAACAAAAGAAATCCTCCTTTACTAATTTTAAAAGTAACTCGTCACTGTGGGATTCTGAGGCCTAGTCAAATAATTGTCTTAGTGTACTACCTGCTGTGTTCAATATTGAGTGAAAATGGAAGCCAGGCCTCTGTACCATCTTATTTCACAATTCTTCTTTTATTTAAATAATTCCAGTTGGTTTGGGGGACGCCAGACCTTTATAAATTAACAGCAGGGAAATACCAAAGGTGTCAGATTGCATATTTATCATCTTTTTCGTGTAATACTTAAATATGTATTAAGAAGTGACTGACATAAATTAGGCAGATTTCAGAAGCCACAGGCCGTGGCTTGTAGAGGACCCCCTTCTGCTTGACATTTCATCCTTGTCAAAGATCAAATTATTTTAATTTAGGCTGTAAATTATAAGGAATGAAGACTTCTTTGTGGGAATTCCCTGTGGTAATCTGACTTTTGTTGTTACTGCTGCTTGTCAGTGTGCAAAAGATATAATATGCATGCAAATAAGGTTAAAAAATATGTACTATCTAATTATCCAGCCAGTACATTCCACTTGAAGACAGTGGGAGGCCTGACACACAGTATGTGTTTGATTCATTGAGGCCTGCAGGGTATTTACACAAGATTACTTTTAATTATGAAATTAATATCTGTTTATCTAGAATGTATAGTAGTAAGTGACTATACACATGAGCAGAATTTTTTAGTAAAATATGTCATCTTAATGTTTAATACATATAAAATATTGGGAAAAACATGATTTTTTCCCTCAAAAATGATACTGAAGTCATCACGTTTATCGAAAGGAAAAACAATCAATACAGATTTGCACTTTCTGTTATACTTGTTGTCACAACTGCCAAGTCATTTCATGATGTGTCATTGCACCTTGCCAGCTTCCTTCTATGGATATTATCCACAAATTTAAACCTTAATTTTGGAAGACAAACACAAAAAATACTGTGACTGTCCTCTCTTTAGATTTGTAACATTGTTAGAATTTAAAAGGTACAGAGTCTGCTTTAAGTATGGTTCTGTTTTGTGCTCTGGTAGCTTTCATATAAATGAATAATGAGGGTGTGGGCAGTAATAATGATATGTGACTATCTCTTGAGTTATAGTCTTTTTCATGTTAAAAGCCTTAATACAGGCTTAATATTAAGCAGAGAGAAACTGACAGTGACCCATAGAGCAGCAAGCTGCAAGATGTCAGTGAACTATCACTGAAGCATAATGAATTATTTTTCTAGTTTTCACCCTGATAATTATATATTGGAATTGCAAAATAAAGCCTGTATCCTTCAATTTACAATGTACAAGTGGACCCCTGCAGCCCTAAAGTACCCCTTTAAACATGCAGACATCCATGGAAAATTGTAAATTGCAGGATTAAGAGTGAATACATTTAATATATGCTGTGGTGTTTTTGCCTGGATATCTCCACAGTTTAGCTGTTTTGTGTAGCATAAGGCTTTCATACAGATGCCACAGGAATGTGGATACTACGGATACTGGATGGCTCTGTGAATTAATATGTGGATAATGGTGTCTTTGCCTTTTACATAATAGGTTCAAAAGTGATACAGGGTGTATTAACCACTTTTTTTCCTGTTGTCCTTGCCCCCATCATGCCTTCCCCATATTTGTAGTCAGTGTTTTGCTGCCGAATGGGCTGGCAGTCTCTGTCTGATTCCTAAGGGAAGGGGTATGGCTGTGTTAGTAGCACTTTGCCTCTAGACGAGATAGTGGGTTTAACTCCAAAAACAGACTCATACCCAATGCTGTCATACCATATATTACTTAGAAGAGGCTTTGGATAAATCCATCAGATGGAATGATAAATCAGGGCTCCCAGTTCAATCTCTTATAAGTGAAAAAGTCCTCTGGAGGAATAATTTAACAAGTAAATTAATAACAACATATTCTGTGAAGCCTAATATTTCTATAAAGAACAAGGGAAACATACAGTGATAATGCAAGCTGCCCTTCAGTAACAGGCCTCAAACCTGAAAAGACAGCAATGGCAAGAAATATCTGTGTCTAGTTATCTTTAGTTCAAAAAGGCCTTTCCATCATAACCCGTGCCCCGCCCCCCACCACTGATGCTCTCTTCTGCCCAAAGACCCTGCTAACAAAATGAAGCATATGAGCCTAAAAGAGTAAATTAACACAGCATTTAAAAATTAAATATTAAAAATCCCATTTAACCCCAAAAGGGAAAGATGCCAGAGACCGTGTAGTCCATCTGGGGATTTCCGTGATTAGTGGTAATATATAAGGGCCTCAAACACTAAGGTGATGGCAACCATCATAAAACTTAGAGAGTGGGTTTTTCTCGGGAGCAGACAAAAGGACTGCAAACTATTATGAAGGTAGGTACTTTAATATGGATATCTGTCCACTAAAAGCTGAAGTAAAATCATAAATACATTTAAGTCAGGGCAATACATGATCATCAAAGAACAGCCTTTCACTACCCAATAGATCCATATTTAAGCAAGCAACCTGGGAATCGGTACTATTAGTATAGACCAAGATCTGTTTTCCTGAATCCCATCTCACAGCTCCTTTCTTGTGATAAGTATATATTAGAATTAAACCTTAGTTTTGGAAGAACACCTTGGAAGTAGGCATTCTACAACTGTAATAATGAGAAATGGAAGAAAAACATTTGGTAGGTAGAACATTTTGATTTTCTCTTTCTCTCTTACTGCTTTCTCTCTTTATTTCCTTCTCTCCCCGCCCCCCTTTGTGAATCAGTGTGATGGAATTCAGCTAGACTTAATCAATATTTCTCTGGAAGGAATTGCGATTCTGAACATTCCAAGCATGCATGGTGGATCAAACCTCTGGGGAGAGACGAAGAAAAGACGTAGCCATCGTCGAACTGAAAAGAAGAGGTCAGATAAAAGAACAACTGTCACAGACGCCAAGGAATTGAAGTTTGCATCCCAAGGTAAGTCTTTGGATTAAAATGATTATCTGATTCTGGAGAGTCAAATCACTTACTGGTACTATATTCCTCTTGTGCTACAGCAGTGTATTGGGATAATCATGGATATACTGAAAATTGCACTCTGAGTACCAGCAAACCTATCCTTTTTTAGAATATCACATGGTATGCAGACTAGATAAAGCAGGGAACATAGTTTTCTTCTGCTTTATTCAGTATAAAAGTGCTTAGTTTTGCTGGAGCCAGCTAACATTTACTGCAAATGCTAGTATACATACAACTTGGTTTAGAGGATAATAATTTCCTTTCTCCAACAAACTTTGTCTTCTGTGCCCAGGAAGCTTGCCCCATCATGGTAACAAGGAGGTGACTCTACAGCACAGTGGTATTTTCCCCCCCAAAAATATATGATGTTCTGCCATGATTTTTAAAGCTATTGTTCATTACCCTAATATGATGTGTTTTCACACTATTACCTGAGCATGAGATAAGAAGGTGTATAGCACTGATCTGGAAACATGACACATCACATCAGCACAGCATGCTGATATAAATAAAGTATAACAGTGTCTAGAGCAGAGAGATAAGCAGCCTTTTGTAGCATGCCAACCTATTCTAATGTAGGTTGCTATTAGGGTCTTGTTACATGTTAACTTTACGTAGCTCCTGGAGCTCTGAATCCCTGGATTATCCACACATAAACACTTAAAACTAGTTTTAAGCAGTCTTTAAATGGCTTAAAGTTACACCACTCCAGCCTAGGTTTATCTCTGATCCATATTGCCCAGCTCATGTTACACTAAGTTGTAGCCACTTTAGACTACACCTCAGTGTAAATACCCCACCAACCTCACTGGCCCAAATCAGGCCAGTACCCCCACACCTTCAGCACCCCAGATCCTCATTCACTGCCTGGTCCCATGCCCCTCTGTACACACTTACTTGTGGCTGTCCACATTCTCTGGCCCCAGGGGAGCAGGTAGGGAAGGGTTAACCTGCCTGCCTGGACAACACCACTCACCACTGCTGCTGCTGTCTGGGCTGGGCTCAGCCCTGAAAAGAACAGCAACCTTGCAGTGGTGTCAATGGCCCCTGCACAGACAGCACAGGCTGCTGGTCATGGCAGGGGCTATGTGTCATGGCGGGAAGCATGTGGGAACAAGTAAGTTGGGAGGGGCAATGGAGGGGAACACTGAGTGGCAGGGGAAACCCAGAATGCGGGGGAGGGATTCTTGCCTTTCAGTCTTCTAGGCCCCTGCTGATCTGAATATGTGACTGTTCTAAACTCAGGCTAGCACTAACACTGATCAACATTTGTGCAGCTTGCAGTGTGACATGTAACAAGGCCTTTATTGCACCTTGTCAGCAAGCGGTGGGGGGCAAATGGTCTCCAAGTAAGTTGAGGACAAAAGGCACATACACCAGTGTGTAGCTCATCGGTGACACATGGGGGGGTGTACGCGGGTGCATGCACCCCCTGAAAGAAGCATTGCTGATGCTGCCGGAGGCGCCTGCAGGTGGTCACCACTCGCTACCCTGCCTCCTCGCCATTGACACCACCAGCAGCGTCTGTGGGCGGTCACTCATTACCACTGGCTGCCACCAGTGCTGCCAGCAGCATCTGCAGGTAGTTGTCGTGCCCCCGCCCCCTCCCCCAGCCTCCAGGGCCGCATGTCATTCATGGTGTAGCTTGTACTGATATTGTTTTATCCTTGATTCTTTTAGAGGTAGTGCTACTCTGGATTGGGCATACCCCATTCTAGGGGGTTATGTCTTCTGTCTTCTCTTTGTTTACTCTAGTGAAGAAGTCATTTATACCAGTATAAACATTAGGTATATCTGAGTTGTGTCCTGAGGCACAAGGACTCTGGGATTGCTGAAAGAGTGTACACAGTAGCAGCATTTGCTGTGCCCTTGAGCATGTTGCAGGATGTTCTCTTTAGCTTCCAATGTCATTTCAGCCCCAGTATCCCTATCACCCCTCCCTGTCAAGTCCTGAGTTTTCTATTGCTATAGTTCATGCCAGTATCCCTTGATTCTTGCGTACCAGGAGAGAAAAGAGTCAGGATTGAGTATGGCTGAAGTGTAGTGACGGCTTTATTTCAGTTTCCCTTTTGTATTGCCTTTGTATAGCTTAACAAACAAAGGGATACAGTGTCCTTCACCTCTCGGGCCGTGATTCTATCTCTTTGTGATGAAAGTTATGATGAAAAACTACTATAATCTTTCAGTTGTTACAAGATCTGTATGGAATGAAATTGCTTTTCAATCTATTTGGGCAGTGGATTGGAGTCCAAATTTTAAAAAAATCACCATTACACTTTTCTTAACACAATTGTTTACAGTCTTAATGAATATATCAAGGAATTTAGTCTGTTACATTAACCTTTTAAAGGTGGTCCCTTCATTTCAGTATTCAAGAATATTGTCACATAGTGCAAAGAGCACTGTTATGTGGATAAACAATGGAACTCTGTTTCCAGTGCTGATCCAGTGTCTTTCACAAGTCTTTTAGTATAGTTTAAATAGTTTAAGTCTAAAGTAAATAGTCAGTGGACAAACTTTAATGGTAATCAGATAGAAAACAAAATAATGTGCTAAGAAAAGAAATGTATTTTAAAGGTTCTAAGATTATAAAACACATATTTTTAATTATATATACACATGTAAAAGTACTTGACTATGGTTCTTTTAAGTCTGGAATTTATAGACAAGCCTTGGTTAGGTCAGGTGAAAAGTTTCAATCTATCGGCTATCAAAACAGCTGACTTCCTGTCTGTTCTACGACAGTCTGATAGCTTCATTAGCTTCAGAAGAGTATATGCTTGAATCACATTTTGTTATAGATGAGCTTTGTTTTTGATTTTTTTACTCCTTAAGTCTCTTTAAGATTCTTATTTTTAGATGGGAGCAAACATTTCACAAAAATGTTAAACCATGTGCTGAAATTTGTACTGCTGGGTTGAGAACGAAGATAAATACACACCTGCATGCTAATCTCTGTTCCTTTATTTACATATTCTGAATAAATATCCTTTCAGCTGGTTTTATGTCAAACACAGAATCTAATCGCTAGACCTAACTAAGCACTACATTTATAAGAGACTATTAGCTAACCTAAGGGCTTCTTGCTTTTCGAGGATGTGTATTTGATTTCTGTGAAAATCTAAATCTCTCAATTATAACTTTGAATAGCATTTGAATTTGTGTTTAGAGCAGTCAAAAATAGCATTGCTACTATGTCAACTAAACTCTGGGTCAATTTACACTTCATTCTACTCCCTGCTCTCTGCCTTTGTGATGTTATAACCTGACCCAAATAATGCACTTTGGGGTGAAGCTTGGTATACCAGGTCTAAGTCCAGGAAAGATATATTTATATCATCAGTACTTAAGGCTTCACCGTAACTGAGCAATTTGTGTAACCTGTTGCATCACTTCCCTGCAGCAAGCCAAGAAGGAGATTGTGAATGAGAGCTCAAGGGAGGGAGTAAGTTGACATCCACTTGTCCAGGTGAAACTAGACCACCTAGTTTATTAAAATGGGAGAAAGTTAGGAGGCAAGAATCAGCCCTTCCTGCCTACCTGCAAGTAGGTACTATTTCTCACAGTCCAGTTTCCCTTTCTGTGTTTCTGTACAGAGTGAACTTATCCCAATCGAGAAAGTAAGACATTGCCTTACATCTCCAATAATCTCTTGTGCAACTGCACTAGCCAGGCCAATGAACAGGCTGATGATAACTGTTTACAAATAATTGCACAATTGACTCTGTGCAACAGACATTAACATTTAAAAGCTCAAAAGGCCACATTTTTCATTTTAGGTACCTGAGTGCAACTTGTATTGATTTCTGTAGGAACTAGGCATATTGGAGTGTGAAGTTAGGCACTGATTGTTTTTTTAACTGGAAAATGCAACCTGGATTTAACATATAATTTGTTTAAAGGAAACCATTATCTGTAATAGACTAAATATTTTTGTATTTTTTAATCAAAGCTGATATTGACATTTTTATTTTGCCTCCTGTATATAAATAGTATAACAGTGGTGCCCTGCAGACCAGATGAGTGGGGTGGGGCTGGTCCCCAGGTTGGATTGAATACTGAGAGCCAGCACACTGGGAATGCGTCCTGGAGGTCCAGCACCTTCCCCTCCCACCTCTGCATGCAGGGATTGGTCCCCAGGGGTTCAGCACCACCCCTTTCCACCAGGACTGGTCCTTGGGGACCTGGCATCACCCCTTCCTACCCCACCATGCTGGGATTTGGTCCTGGGGGCCCGACACTGTCCCCTTTTGGCCCCCGCACGCTAGATGGGACCCTGGGGCCTGGCACCATTACCATCCAGCCCTGCATACTAGGATTGAGCACCCAATTCAGTGCCCAGGACTTCCCTCAGGTTCAGAAGCTTGGTGGAGGGGGAGCAGTGCCACCTCTCTCCCTCCACTAAATTTCCTACCTGTGGGGAGCCCCTGCGGGCCATGGGCCGACTTGAGCATCTCTGGTATAGCATGTTTAAACAAAATGCTAGCATAGACATTCACACAATTCTTAGTACGTTTGAATTAAGAAAATATTGGTATATTTCTTACATACAGAATAATCTACTTTTCATTAAAAAAAACTAAATACAGATTTATTTAAGAGTCTAAAAATGGAGGCATGGTCAGCATGTTGATTGTGCAAAATTTTCACATGCAGCATTTTAGTAAGATAGGTCCCCAGCATTTACAGAGTTATGCAGTGTCTGTCTGCTAGTGGGTTTCTAGGTCCAAGATTTTAGCAATGACCATGAATTACCCTTAAACTTTTTATTTGATCTTTTTTTCTTTTTTTGGACAAAAAGCCAAAAACTGGTGCTTTAGCAAAGGTTAGTTGAGACCTATACATGTAAATACCACTTTTCTTAGGTGATCCATCATCAGTGATCTATATTAATTTTTCCTTCCTGAAATATTCAATTCAGTCCTTACACCTTTCATTTTCTTATTTAATGTTTGTGA